CGCTGCTGAGTCATCTCTCGCGGCGTGCAGGTTTGGCACAATTCATACCGATAGTTACACCACTCCTCATACACCACTCAGCATACACCACTCATCATACACCACTCGTCATACACCACTCATCATACACCACTCGTCATACACCCCTCTTGTCGTGGCAAAGATACAACCCAGTACGCTGTTGTGAGCTGCTGATCCTGCAGGGGGCACACACCTTACACACGTGGAATCCCGTGGGTCAAAAGTCCGGAGCACGTGCGTTTGACTGGAGGACGCGCATGTTGGAGAGAACGTGGACACTCCTATAGGTCAATTTGTTCTTATAGGAAACTTCCGCCGCCGGCTTGCCCGGGAACTACTTGTATACCAATAAAGTTTGGAAACAATAGCTCAGATATCTGGAAGGACACAAGGCAAGCAGATTCAGTCCATTTGGATTCTTCGGAAACTCCGTCCGACTGCCGAAGCAGTTCATCGGAAACAAGCCTCTCCGGAGAGCAAGCACGACGCGCCGAAATAGAGAGGCCGCGACAGGCCTGCCAGGTGCCGAGGAGCGTTTGAGGGCGGTCCAAAATGCCTAACGTTGCCTTTGGAAGCCCATAAGAAGAGAAGGGCAGGCTTCGGACAGGCCACAGAGAGGCCGCGGCAGGCCTGCCAGCTGCCGAGGAGCGTTTGAGGGCGGTCCAAAATGCCTAACGTCGCCTTCGGAAGCCCATAAGAAGAGGGGAGGCAGGCTTTACAAGCCACAGAGAAGCCGCGGCAGGCCTGCCAGCTGCCGAGGAGCGTTTGAAGGCGGTCCAAAATGCCTAGGAGGCAGGCTCGGACAGGCCACAGAGAGGCCGCAACTGGCCTGCCCGCTGCCGAGGAGGGTTTGAAGGCGGTCCAAAATGCCTAACGTCGCCTTTGGAAGCGCATAAGAAGAGAGGAGGCAGGCTTCGGACAGGCCACAGAGAGGCCGCAACAGGCCTGCCGGCTGCCGAGGAGGGTTTGAAGGCGGACCAAAATGCCTAACGTCGCCTTCGGAAGCCCATAAGAAGAGAGGAGGCAGGCTTCGGACAGGCCACAGAGAGGCCGCAACAGGCCTGCCGGCTGCCGAGGAGGGTTTGAAGGCGGCCCAAAATGCCTAACGTCGCCTTCGGAGGCCCATAAGAAGAGACCTGCCAGCGGCCGAGGAGGGTTTGAAGGCGGTCCAAAATGCCTCACGTCGGTCCAAAATGCCTAACGTCGCTTTCGGAAGCCCATAAGAAGAGAGGAGGCAGGCTTCGGACAGGCCAAAGAGAGGCCGCAACAGGCCTGCCAGCTGCCGAGGAGGGTTTGAAGGCGGTCCAAAATGCCTAACGTCGCCT